TTTAATGACACTTCTATATTTATATGACAAACACTGACAGTTCTTTCGATACGATACGGTAAGGAGTTTTTATGCAGAGAATCAAGCTATAATGCCAGTAAACTTAATTTTATTTAGTAAAATACATAAATCGATTATCCCGGGTTATTCTATACTTCACATGTTGAGCAGAATGATCCTAACATAAAGCGACCGATAAGGGTTTGTTGTCGTCAGTGTTTGCTAGCTGATCCAAAAGGATCAAATTGTCACATGACAAATGCTGCTGGCGACAATATGAACCAAGGGTTCAATTGGTGCAGACATCTTTACAACTTAGCTCAAAATATTGTCGGTATTTAAGCAAGTTGTATACTCTAAGTATTGACTGTATTATTCAATAAATTAAAGCTACATGACCCTATTAAAAGTCGAATATGCAACATAAATGTTTGCATGGTCCCTAATGGTCTTTTTGCCTGAGAAATAGGTAAATGTAATATAAGTATCTTAGACAATTACACTCAATATGAACGAAGACAAACTGCAAATAAACCTAGACATAGTTTTGACCGAAACTAAAATATAAGATTCGCGAAATAAGGTGAGGATAAAGTCCAAAATTCCAACTTTTCTTGGACAATTTGCTGCAGATAAGCAAACTTATTTAGTGTTTTAGGTTTTTACGTTGCACAAGGCGAACATTTATTACAAACCTACTCTTCTTTGCCTTTGGCTGACATTGGAAAACGTGCCTGTTTCATGTTCATGATTATACCGTGTTTCTATTTGCCATTTAAGTCATGCAATTATGTTGAACCACTTCCAGGAATTATCATTGTTTGAATAAAAGAGCATAAAATACCATGTACATCTCTGGCAAATATTCTGAGCGTTCACAGAATGCAAAGTTTCTAAGAATCTAATTCAAAACACATTGTAGGCAAAATGTATTTGTGGTTTGATTTTAATTTAAATTAAGCTCAACTTGGTAATGGTAGTAATACAATATAAGGACAAATTTAACTTCTATTAATATTGGAGAACCTCCAATAAACCTTGAAATATTTCTACATGTGCTTGTAATATCCTGGTTTGATAGTTTACTCTAGTAACAACCATTACATTTAAGCTGCATTTTATCAGTGAAAAAGATAAAGGTATATAAACGAAGTTCTGAGTGGGGATTTGATTTCCATCACAGAGTTATTGGAAAACAGACCGTCTTTGAAATAATTCGTGTTCTCCAATTCCCATTAGAAAAGAGAACTAATTTGATTTGTATGGGTCTGGCTTTACGAAATGAGAAAATGGTCTTTGGGGAAAATGAAGTACCAACTTCCTGGTGTAATATAACGGCCGTTATACCAAGTGCTTCACGTATCGTCGGTTCATTATTTAAATTGTCTTAGTCTGTCAATAGTAAATGATTGTGACTGCCATTGGGCTTGTACTATTTGATATAACTCGTGTTCCAGTTTAATCGACTTTCAGAATTTGTTTTTGTTAAAAGGAATCCATTCCCAATTGATTGAATATTTTAGTTTTTGTCAGACATAACCTGTTTGTAGAGTTCATCTGCTTTTCAACTGATTTATTTCTAAACATTCTAAGAACGTTGCATAAATATTAAAACTTTGAATGTAAGGATGAAATAGTAAGTCTGCCTTTACATTGACAGAGTGTGACAAATTTATTTTAATGAATGCTTAAGAAATACCCTTTTCATCATAATAATTAAGCAGTTTCAATTCAATCTGTATTCTTTCAACACTTTTATGTGTATTTTGCTTTTGTGTAATTGATAGTAATTCTAGGTAGTAATCATTATGTTAGGCTGTTTGACATAAGACTATAATATTTTCAAAGAGACCTATCGAATTATCTCCATATCAATCTGTCATTTGCCTTACGAGTCAGCAAAAGTACCGTTAGAACAATATAGACCACTGGTAGAATTATTTTTAATCTATCTCTCTCCATCATCTAGAAAAACAAACAACTACCCATTTGACTTTCTTTCTTCCTTCACTACAATTAACTTCATGTATTTACTTGATATTTCACAGAGCCATGAAAGAGAAACTCAATGAACATCAATTTCACAGATCTAATCTAATCTTTCGCATGATCTGAACCGACATATTGCACATGCAATATTAATGAATGATATAGAAGCATAGGAACATATCTCAAGAGTTCGTTGCGTCAAGATACCGGTTTGTGTTAATTTCAGTTCTATATCTACTACAGCTACAAATATTGTTATTGGATATTTTAGTAAGTCAAACATTTATCCACTCTAAACATCTAGTTATGGTTGTTTTTAATTTGATTGTAACTATCCTTGCAAATGAGAATTTGATTTTTTTAACAATGTCTGACTTGAGTTAAGTGAAATATACGCCTTGGACAATCACATTTTTTAAATGCCTCTTTCTAGGTGAAAAACCAAATTAACCAGTTCTTATTTTCACTTTGGAGTCAGAAATTTCTAATAGTACTTATATTGTTCTGCGTGACTTAGAAGTTATTTAATAACAAGTTATTACTGCGTATTATATACATATTGCATGCAAACGTACCTTAATTTTGATATCAATATGCTCCTTATATAACATAAGCGCAGCAGTTTGGACTTTCATTCGAAAACTTACGTATTTCAATAAACTAGCTTTTCTATAATATATATATATATATATATATATATATATATATATATATATATATATATATATATATATATATATGTGTGTGTGTGTGTGTGTGTGTGTGTGTGTGTGTGTGTGAATGCATGTACTACTTACTGGTGTTTAGATGTCTTTTAGCCAAGATCATCTACCTCAGCCATTTTAAGAGTAGGTCAAAGGTCACTACCAGTTAGACTACTGTTATATGATATAATGATTAAATCACCGATAATCCTCATGGATATAATTAGCTATCATCTACAAACTAAACATATCAAATAAATCTATATTTTATTGACAATTGGTTTTCGTTGATTTTCTGTTATTTCTCATCTTCTATCCCAATTTGCGATTTTTTGATGGTGCATAACCTACGCGAATATATGTTGCGGCTTTGATTGATGAAGTCGTGGTTCTTGTATGGAAATATGATACTGGAATGCCTTGTGGAAATGAGAAAGGGTAACCTTTTTAAATTTTAAAACAAAATCGAAACAAAAACTGTTTTCTGTATTGGATATTTTAAGCTCTCAATGATAAGATATGAAGCCGGACAGCTCAATAGTATCTTTTGTAAAGGTATGATATTATTCAAAAACAAATCATGCTATAATCTGTGTAAAGAAATTCAGTTATATGAACATAGTGTATATGACGCGACGATCCAGCGACTGATTCATTAACAATCTCAAAATGATTCCAAGAACATTGTAAGCTTGGTATTGTTAGTAGTAATTAAGTAGTTTTGAGTGGTTATGCAATAGTACTGAATCATTGTTTAGCACATTTTATTGGTTTTTAAAAAAAGACAACTCTAAAGGCTTACTGAATTTGAGAGGTCACTAACAGTCATATAATAGATAATTGGAGGTGATCGATAAACAGACGTACACTAATTAATCGGCCGGCAAGTTGCTTGAGTTTGAGCCAAGATGCACTTCTTTGAAATTTATATCGTGTCAAGACACTAATGTTTAATAATGATAAGAGTCAAGATATAAAATAGAAAAAAGTTGTCCGTTCAATGGAGCAGCAGAGAGGGTGAACAGACCATTTTGCCTGAGACCTTATTTATTAAAACTAAAGCCTCGTACGACGGTGAAATCTGAACGTCAACAACGTTAAACCAGCACTTAACCCGCTGGGTCGACTTTGTCACATGAGCGACCCTTCAGGGTTAGCTGGTGCTGTTACGTCAACGAAGTTATTTTTTTATTTCACTGCTACGTGGTTTCCTTTACGTGCCGGTCGCTTTTGTTGGTCGCACCCTCCCCTCCTACGGTAATTAAACCATTGTAATTCACCCTACCCCACCCCGTTCTACATTTTGCCAGTATCAAACAAAAAATATTATATAGGGGCCTTCTTTACGTTCAACAGATTTTGCACACATCCCTCATAATCAAGTGCAAACAAAACAGCACCACCAGGTGCTAACATGGTAGGAAAGTGTGTTCTTCTGTTGAACTTCAAGCTAGTGGGTTGCGGACACCCACTTAATAAGATAAATTGGCATTGATGCCACCACCACCCCGACATATGTCCGATAGAGGGAATCGAACCATGGGTCTCGAGTACTAGAGCCAGACACGCTAACAATGCGCCATGGTTCCACTTAACACGTATACGTTTCAAAAATAAATATAGCACACAATTTCTGTGATAAACATGTTCTGAAATGCTGTTTATTCTCACTTTACTACAGAGTAAGTATCTACACATGAATCGGTGCTGAAGTTCTAACTTTTAATCATCAGCCTTAGCAAATTTAGCATTTTATGGAAGCGTATCAATCAGTTTTTGAAATGATTAACATTTTTCAGCTGTATTCTCCAGTCAAGACTTCATGGGAAATGCTTCTGTCAAAGCATTCATAATTTCTAGATCTTTGATATCCTCTTTGATTATAATTCTGTCTATAAGTACTCCTTTCGCACTTAAATGGAATCAGTATTTAAGGTTGTACTTTCTTTCTAAATATGTAACAATTATTTTCTAACGTTGATTTGTCTTGGCCTTGGTTTATTTATTTCAAACAATTCCTGATCTTCTAAAAGACATATTTATGAAGAAAAGACAAATAGTGAGTTTTCTTTCGAAAATGAATCTCTATTTGAAAAGCATAGACAGATTTTATATCGAAAGCTAGACAGTTTAAATTTCAACCCAAATTCGGCTGTTTGACGTCCTTGATCATAGTTATTGAATAGTATATACTTTAATCAATATATTTATTTGCATTCCTCAAGCACAGCTTCTGAAAGTTATGAAAACATTCATGATCTTTTGGGGCATTAAAGTGTTTCCAATTTCATTAAACGCTCTAAGACCGCTTCGGTGGCCTAGTGGTTAGAGCGTCTGCCTATGGATGTGGGAAGTCAAGGGTTCGATTCTCGGCCGAGTCATATCAAAGACTTAGAAAAATTGTGCTAACAGCTGCCTCGCTTGGTGCTCAGCATTAAGAAGATAGTGTTAGGACTGGTCGGCCTGGTGTCACTGGGTGGGACAAGCATGCTACATGTCTGCAGCATGATGCTAAACATCACTATGAACTAATATACTGCAGACATCGTAGCGATATTACTGAAAAATAGTCATATTAGGTTAGAGCTAGGTTAAAAATCCAACACACACATACATACACATTAAACGTTCTGTGTGTTTATTGCCATCGGTTAGTTCCGTCTCTCACGGCTTCTCTTATCTATTGTGGTTTCATGACTACTGTATAGCCATTCATTGATACCATCTTCTTATTTCATCTTTTTCCTTTCCTTCATCAATCTTATATTTATTCAATCTCATCATATAAAGCGTCACAATCACCTTAACATAGGATATTAATCAATGCATAAAGCAGCAAATACAACGTTCATTTCTAACGAAGAAGTGTATGCAATGGTTGTTTCAAAATCTTAATCCAACGGAAGCAGATAATCCGGAAAAGTTGCTTATATTAGCGCAGATTTAGCGACTTTCTAATTATTTTGCTTTTGTTTGTTAGCCTTTACCCTGTGACATAACTAAATTAAGCATCCCCCTCTTTATAGACCATGTCACTGCTGCTCCGTAACGTGTTTAAATGATTTTAATATATCCAGTTAACCTGTGATATTTAAGAAGCTTGCATGCATGAATATATACGAAGTAATTTATGGTTCCTATAATATTTCAGAAGCCATTCATCTTTGATTAATTTGCTACAAAATAACGTCAAATTTGTGCTGATGGCGATACCGTGTTAAGAGTGTAAGCATATAAAAACAGTAAGTGAAATTTAATTTTCGTGATCAATGTCAGCAATGGTTTGTTCGGTGCATTTGTTAAATATTATGAGCTCATCGGCCTCTTCCTTTTTCACGAAAAGCTTTGTGTATATTTTTTTCAAATATAATTCGCCACTTTTGTGCAACATAAATATCTTTAGGATATGTATCAAAAGACCGAAATTACCCCTCCTTTAGTCAGCCATTTGCTTGAACGGTGAATGCAAAGAAATGGAATAATAGTGTAGACAGCTGATATAGCTATTATCTCAATTGTATATCTCAGCCTTTTACAGACAAATAAATCAAAACCAAACTCAGCGAACTCAGTTTAAATCGCTGCTATTGGCATCTTTTAATGCTATGCAGCATGGCTTGAGGACAATTTAGCAATTCAAACAGTTAATATAAAGATATTTGAATAAATAGGTTATTTTGTACACACACACACATATGTATAAGTATATATATATATATATATATATATATATATATATATATATATATATATATATATATATATATATATATATATATATATATATATATATATTAAGTATTATCTAATGAATTTTAATCTGCTAAAGCAATATGTGTGAATGTTTCAACTGGTAATGGTAACTTGCACTTGGTTCAATATGCTTTATTTTTTATTGAAATCGATAACTGTCACCTAAAGAATGCTACAACAACCTTTTGTATTACGTTTAAAAGAAAATATTTTGCTAGTGACGTGGAAACATTGTATTGTCTCGAGTTCAGTTTCAGTTTCATTCATGACAAATTTCCTTATATCTTTTGAAACAAACATGAAAAAGTGAATGATTTGGAAAAAGCCATCTAGATGTATTTTTAGTTGTTATTTGTTTTAGTTTTATCGATAGAAAGATCATCCAGATTTTCGTCATAATTTTAGGACACCACCGTTTTGCAAGTTTAGATCGTACATTTAATGCTTCAGACAGTCTTGCATGAAAATATTATTATATAATTTTAGTTTCATTCACTGTTCTTGCACAGATTTATACGGAGAATGTTATTGGGGTGGGGACAGTGCCAGATTACCAAATAGGCAGAGTAGGCAACGACCTATTAACAGTAACAACTGATCAAAATAATATTGAATTTATTTGATCTTGATGTATTAGGAGATCCTTTGCGAGGTTTTCCCTAGATTTCGACTGCCTAGGGACCTTCACGTGATATAATCCTTCACTGGGTAGGGAGAGATTCATCACAGATCAGTCTCATCCGGCAAACTACTAAGTGTAACAGCTTTATGCGAATGATATTAATAAACGTGTCCTAACCTCATTCGAATTTGTTACTTCATTTTGATTACTTCTGCTGTCAAACAAAATTTTAGTCTTTGCAGTCTTACAGTCCATATCGGTAACAATCGTTGCAAACAAAATTTCTTGCCAGCAATCAGCTCTCATCTATACCCGATTTTTATATCGTTGTCAGACATGATTTTGAGTTTATTTTAAAATCTTGTTTAGTCATGGCATCTTCCCACTGATTATATAAATAAATAAATATAATATATTATTTAAATATATCCTAAAGGGTATACAGTAGAAATTTTAAGATCTAAAGTGCTACAGCCACAGTTGAGATATTCTCCAACTGTCACGTTTCAATATCTCTTTGTGAAACATATAATAAAATATCCTAAAACAACTTTCCTATTGCCGACTCATTACATAAAATAATAAGCGTTTTGTTTTCATACGTGTTACAGTTCATGAAAACAAGCTGGGGCCTTTCTGAATCACAAATAATTACAATGGGACGAGACTCAATCTACGTTATGAAATAGAGGGACATGACCAATAAATTTGAATTGATTCTAGATTTGTTCTTCTAGTAAGATAAACTCTTATCCAAAATACGTTTTGTCAGCAGGAGAAAATGTTTATATTAAATTAAAAGATTTAATATGCTTAACAAGGCCTAATCTTGTCACCTGAAAAATTGCCACAGATTATTGGAAAAACACACTTCATCTGATTAGATAATTCCTTTATTAATTTCATGTGTCAATGACAGCTCGTGAAGGATGTAATTTAAGAAACCTGAACATCGTTTAATGGTTTAATTTTCCATCTTCAATGGTGTGTGTGTGTGTGTGTGTGTGTGTGTGTGTGTGTGTGTGTGTGATTTTTTAATGTAGCTTTAACAAGTTTCCAAACATATCGCTACGATGTCTGCAGTGAGGCATTTTAGTAATGTCTAGCACTGGGATATCATGCCGCAAACATGTAGCATGAAGTCCCACCCAGTCACATTATCCGGACATCCGACCTTTCCTAACACTAAGCTCTTAATTCTAAGCGCCAAGCGATGCAAGCTGCTACTACCATTTTTATGTCTTTGGTATGACTTGACCTGGGTTCGAACCCGCGACTTCCTGCATCCAATGTAGATGCTCTAACCACTTAGGTCACCGGAACGGTCCTTTCATGCCATGAATATCGAATTGCTTCTTGAGTTTTAATCTGAAAAATATTAACTAATTAGGAGTGCGACTAACAAATATCATGAAGAAAATCAGTCATCGTGATCTGTTTAATGCTATGGCGATCGGGCCATAAAGGTCACTGTTAGTTTTTTGAATCTCTGAACCTTGAATCTTCATGAGTAAAAAACCAGACACAATAGTTCAGGTATTGCTTTTTAGCGTGCACATATAACGTAAGGAGGCATTTGCCAGTAGTGATTTGACTCAACGAAAATATAGACATAAAATAGACATTGAACAAAATGAAAATGAAGATTTTAAACCACAGTTGAAATGAAAGAGATGGAATTTGGAAAACTAACCTCGAAAATTAAAATTTGAAAATAAAATAAGAAATAACACCCCCAAACTTTGATTACTTCAACAAGTTTAGAGTTAAAGCTAGCTTTAAAACTTGCCTTAAAACAGAACGATTGACGTCTTCAGACATGGCAAAAAATTATCTTAACTTCCTTTGACAGTCTTAACTACCATCTTGTGTGAAAGCAAATAAGTGTAGTGTGTGCAAGTACTCCTAAACATTATTGTGTGTGAGAATGTGTGATTTAATTCCCCTTCTTTAATATCCTACCTCTTGAGTGATAATATTTTTATGTGTTTGTAGGTATAATTTGTGCATTGTGAGAGTTTGAATAATATATAACTGGCTGCTGGATATTACAAAATAAATGTTGGGGGTTATATAACCAAGTAATGTATAGCAGATAATTGGGTAATGGTTACTCTAAACACTTGTTAGATAATAAACAACTCAGTGAATATATCATCACTGGTTTACGGATTCTCTAAACGGAGTGTTCATCGTATAGTATGGTACTGTCTAGTAGATAAATGGGCTTTAATTTAAATCACTGTTACAAGGCATTGAGGCTTATAATGTCAAGCATATCGACATATCTTAGATTAAATTTAACGTTACATGACGTAGAAATCCGTAATGTTAAACCTAAGACATTTATAAGTTTTCTTCAAGTTAGGGTCCAAAATAAATAAAGCCAAACAATTATTGCTTTAATGTTAAATTGCCTTAAATAAACTGTAGGTCCAAAATTCACATATATTACACTCTGTAATCAGTAATTTGTGCAGACTGGACGATTTGTATATCCATACTTTTTATATTTTTCATCGTCTTGCAGTCCCTCTCAACAGTAACCACCAAAAAAGATGTCAATATCCCCAGCTCATATTTAGCCATATTCAATCAACCACTTAAATTGGTACCTACCTGATTAAAGGATGGTTTGTATCAACAACCAGAAAACAAAAGTTAACAATACAGCTATTGACAGAAAATTAATGAAAAGTATATACGGATACAGTACTTAATCTTTGAATGAGTTTTGCTAATTTTCTCATCATCGAACTTAAACAATGGGGTCTACAAAATCGGAGAAGAATTGAAAAACAAACGTATCCGTTTGATGTTATTCCCACTTGCAGTACTCAGTCCAGCTTCACTGTTTCAAAACTATGGCCAAAGGAATTTGTTGTGTGTATGTGTGTGCATGTGTATATATATATATATATATATATATATATATATATATATATATATATATATATATATATATATATCACATAGTAGGTTTGGTTTTCCTATAACATGTGTATT